GTTTATTCGGGTTACCAAATATATACAACTTGCCCAAGTGACACTTATAAACATCACATTCCAAAAACATTAGGTTGAGCTGTGGATGCAAACTCTCCAGAGTGTAAGGAGCATTCCTAGAATGAGCTGCCTGGGAGGCAGGGGCTGAAGGCAGCCGACACAGGGCTCTCATCCCATATGGTGGGGTCGCTAGTCCTACAACTGCTGGGGGAGGAGGCTGCAATGGTAGGGAGAGCAAAGGGTCTAGTTCTTCCCAGTTAGCATGCCAGAGACATACTTCCTCACAGAATCTGTGACATATATGATGATTGGTAGAGACACAGGGGTTCACTCTGCCCACAGTGCAGCTTAACCACAACACCCTTCACAAACAGTACTTTTAATAAAAATGAGTAAAAATTAGAGAGCTCCACAAAAGACATATTCCATGCTTTGTTATTTTAATTATTATTATTATTCTTTGAGACAGGGTCTCGCTCTGTCTCCCAGGCTGGAGTGCAGTGGTGTGATCATGGCTTCCTGCAGCCTCTATCCAGGGCTCAAGCGATCCTTCCACCTCAGCCTCTCAAGTAACTGAGACTACAGGTGCCCACCAGCACCCCCAGCTATCTTTTGTATTTTTTGTAGAGACAGGATTTTGCCATGTTGCCCAGGCTGGTCTCAAATTCCTGGCCTCAAGCAATCCACCTGCCTCAGCCTCCCTAAGTGCTGGGTGAGGCAGTGAGGCAGTGTCCGGCTTGTGTTATAAACAATACGTTTAAATTTTTTAAATAATCCATTTGTTTAGAAAGTCAAACCACTTACAGGCTGTTAATCTTGAAGAATTTCTTAGGCAACCCAGAGAAAAGTAGGAAGCAACATTATAGTTTTGCTTTTTATTAGGGGAGGCCTACGATCAGATAAGATTATTTTCAGTAGAGGCTTCCAGAAAGCCTGTCCGTTAAGTGAGGAATGGTAGCAGTCTTGCAGTCTGGCTTCAGAACTGACATAAGACTGCCGTCTTTAGATTTACAAATCACTTCTCTCCAAACTGGACTTCTTACCAAGCATTTCTCATCATCCAGATTTGGAAAATATGCCTAGTCTTTCACAATTGGCTATCATCAGAGCTGAAAAGTTGCTGCCTGCTATTCAAGTGATTAAATAAATACTTGCTAAGTACATAGAGTTCCAATCATTAGCCCCACTGTTCTATGTAGTCATAGATACATAAAATAACCAGGCCAATTATCCCTAACTTAGGAGTAAATACTTCATTTCCCTCTGATTTGGTGAATGGGTACTTAGTGTGAAGCTTACAAAAAATAAAGATTACTTCTAACACCAAACACTGCCAATTGTGCTTAAATCTCTGAGCCACCGGTAAAATCATGTCTTACCTGCATAGTGTTACCGTAGCCATTATTTTCTAAAGCTATCAAAGCTAAGGCCTTGAGGTGGACAGGTGCTGCACCAAAATGAAATTCAGTTGCGTTTGGAAGCCTACCCCTCCGTGGGAGTTCAATCAAGTTGAGTACAGTTGTGTGCTGCACAGAGCAGCTTTCAGTGCAGGAGGCAGGCCATTAAATGCTTTCTGAACTCCATTAGTTACCCCTGCTGAGAGTGAAAAGTTCTCATAAGTGCATAAAATTTAAATTGCCTATGAGGTAAGGAATGAGACGGTATTTTGCTGCAAATATTACTTTCTGTTCAAATGGTCTACAATCACACATATAATGCAGAATCATAGAGTACAGACCTGAAGGAATGAAGCGTTGACTAGGAATACTGTGCCTCAAATCAAATCTCATCATCTGGAAAGACCCCCCGAGTTTGCTTCAGGTGAACTTCCCTCCGCCTGGCACCTCCAGCCAGGTACATGTGCTCCAATGGAGGCCAGAACCTCCACTCCAGTCTAGACTCAGGAGTCAGCCAGGCCCGATCAGAGCACCAGAGACGCTTGGCCTCAGTGACTGAAGGAGGCATGGCACATGACTCAGTCAGAGCACTGAGGTGAGGTGCAACCCAGGGTGGACAGGACTATTAAGAGAGAGAGACATGTGCTCTTTTTCACCCCTCTACTCTCCCTGAACCTGGGAGAAAATGGGTTTGGGACTGCCGCTGGCCATTTGCCATCACAGGAAACCTGGGAGAGTAAAGCCACATGAAGGACAGTAAAGCTGAGAGCTGGCAAGACATCGTGTCCTTATCACACTTTTCGGAGGCCCAGGATCCAGTTGCATGTCTGAATTTTCAGGTTACGTTAGCCAGCAGATCCCATTTTTCTTAGATTTAAGTTTTCTTTCACTTGTAATCAAAACAGTCCTAACTGATAATTAAAATGGAGAACCATACATTTCAGTCTTGAAGAGACTTATCTCATTCTACAGGTAGAGACAGACACTGAGATCCAGGGAAGTAGCTTTCCCAGGTCCTCTGCTAGCTGGTAGTGTAGCCAGGACTAGCACCCAGGTCTCCTGCTTTCTCATGTGATGTTTTCACTGCGCCATGGAGAAAATTAAAAAATAATTATGAAACACATTGGACTGGTTTAAAACTTTTAATTAAAACTCTGCTCTAATTAAAAGCTTATTGGATATTATACTCAAAAAATCCATAATTAATATTTTAAATCATTCTTTACATTGTTACCTAGAATATAAGCAACTTAAAAATACATTAATAAATTAAACTTTTCAGAAATGTGCTTGTGGTCTGCTGTAGCAGCAATAGAAATAGCCCAACAAAATAGCTTAAAATGTTTTATTAAGTATATATAATATTACAGGGTAATATTTACAAAGTTATGTTTTTTTTAAATAAAAAAGTACCTTGGCAAAGATTGCAGATATTCAAAGCTTCAAACAGTGATAAATTGATTTAATACATATAAAAAAAAAAAACCTTTAACGGTAACACAGCTGTTAAACAACTTTGGTCTTCAAATCACTGCAAAAAAATGGCTACTGACAAATAGCACACCTTTAATTGCTATGCGAAAAAGCCCTCTAGAGAGGATCTTGCACATAGCAACACTGGAGTTCTCTTTATTTAGAATGGTTAATAGATATTTATACGATGTGGGATCTAATTGTCAACAATGGCTTTTTGTAAATAATGCTCCATTTAATAAACACAAAATGTTTTCTTCTCTCACCAGCCATGGTAACAACACTTTTAAGATTTAAGATGTTGTCTTACAGAGGAGCTTAGTACAAATGCTTTCTTTTTTTCAAAAAGAGAAATTTATGAGAAAGCTGGTTTTCAATGATCATAATTAAGAACTGTCAAAGTTAAAGGCAGAAAAACTTCCTGGTCACTCACTGCTCATCTCTTCAAAGTTACCTGGATTATCCCTATTAGTCACTGAAAATGACTTAACAAAGGACCCCCAGCAGGTGATGGCAGTTAGTAATTTTAAAATATGACACAAGTAAAACTGTTTATAAAAAAATCCCTCAACCAAATGAAATACAATAAAAGATAAACGGTTGCCCGACAATCATTTCTCCAGCTTCCAACAACAGGTAAATTAAGGAGTATGTGTTTCCACACACACACCACAGATCCCCCTTTTTGAATACCATTTTAAGACAAGAGAAACCTAGAAGGTTGATTACAGCTTAATTTTTATTATTGAGATGGAGGAGTAAACTTATCGTGTTTTGAGCTTTGTTAGTGCAAATAACAATTTGGTGGTCACTTACTAAATTGACTACAGCATCCGGAAAAAAGAAATATTTCCAATTACGGGAAAGACCGTTATTTTAATTCTGACATTCTTAGGGATTTAAACAGAATGGACCTGGAGTTTCCAGGAGAAAAATAATCACCTCTGAAGGTTTTTAGAGCATGTGAAATTCGTTAAAAAAAAAAAAAAAAAAAGACAAGAAAACTCTCAAGCTCATCCTATTAAAAAGTGATAAATCTAAATACAGCCAACTCCCAATCATTTAACTTATGTACCTAGCTTCTGATGTCTGCAAAACACTGCAGGAGGAGAGAATGGAAGAAAGAAAAGCTCTAGCTATAGAAGGAATTTTAAAATCAAGGAAGAGGAGCAAGACCAAAAAACTAATAGAACTAAGCAAAGATGCATAAAGCACTGTAGGAATGGTAAGTTAAGAGATAAAAGAGCAGCTACACAGATGGAGACAGACTGCAAAGGAGAGCTGGGGGAAGGGGCTGCAGGGCTGGAGGAGAATGTTTTGAAGGAGAAGACAAATAGAATTTGGCAAAAGCAGCTGGAAAGGTTGTTGCAGAAAAGGACAAATGGTGTCACTGTGAGAACAGACAATAAATAAAGCTGAATGGAAGAGTCGACAGCAGAAACTGGGATCAGGGAGTAAAAAGCATATTATGGGACAAAACAGATACATAACGTGCAAAACATTGTCTGCAATTTAAATGTGATGCGATGGAATTTGGGAGCCATTACAAATCTGATTTAAAGAGAAGGAACTGGCCCAATGATGCCCAAGCAGGAGGACTCCTGCTGCTGTGGTCCCTTATCCAGAGAAGCTGACAACTAGTTAGAGCAAGAGTTGGTTTCATCTGGCATTTCCCCCACTACCTCTGGTGGCATTGTCTAGGGCAGTGAATGCCTCAAAAGGCAGGCAGCATTAAAGAGAACACAATGGATGGATGAGATCCAAGAGTGAACCCCAAATAAATGAGAGTTTACTACATAATAAAAGGTACAACTTTAGTTTATAAAAGATTTTACTATAAAGATTTTCATACGTTTCCTAATAGGAGTTTGGATGTTTTTCAAGTCCATCTGCTTTTCCCTCGTTTCATCAAAACTGATTTTTAAAGTAACAAACTATGTTAGCAAAGTGTAAATATTTTCAGAAGGAAAGAGTGCTGCAGGAGCCATCGGATTTGTATAAAGGAATACAGCTCCCTCTATATATGTTATTATTTTGGACAGCTACACAATCAGGGAATAATATACATGTGTGTATAGATATACGTATATATAGATATACGTATATATTTGTGTATACATTTTTTTTTTCCAAGAAGAGCTGTCTTGCTAGTATGTTCAGTTTTCCAAGAGGCTTCAGCAGGTCATAAATTTAGGTTTGCCATCGGCAAACTACTTGGTCCCAACATGAAATATGACCATTAATTTGGCATAAAAGAGGCACACGGGAACATCTGATGGACTAAGAAATAACTATTATTAATGCAACTACAAATATGAATATCTCATTACACAAACAGGAAGAATTACGTATTTTTACAGGGTATTGGTGAGCAGTCAAAAAGCGTGGCGAATTACCTAGAAGTTTTAAAAGTTTTAAGTGATCAAATATTTGCATCAAATATAATTCCACCCAATAAAGAACTTTGTATTTAAATGTTTTTACTAAAAGCACAAAATTAACCTTTGCTCTCCTGTAGGTACCCCACCTTTGTCCATACAGAAGATGCATGTGCCCTTCTCATACATATGCACATACAAACACACACCCACAAACAGGTAAAAAAACGAGTGCTAAAAGTCTAAAAGTACTCCAGGCGATCACAACTGTCAGAACGTTAATTTTCTTCTAACCAGGATAGGAAATGTGGGTTTTGTTTACTTTTCAATCATAGGGGAAGGGGAGTACGAGGCAGGACTACAGGAGGAAGGTGATGAATGTTTATCATGCAACATAGATACAACAGTAATAAACCCCCATTCAAGGGCTGGCCCATTGGCCTGATGGTGACACACATTTTGTTGCCATGCAGGAGACTCATAGTTCAAATTTCAATCTTGCTTTTTCATGCCCCAGATCAGAAAAGAAGTGAAGAAACACTGTAGATTTTTGCCTTCAAATCAGAGGAAGGGAATACATATGTTACAACCATAGCTATTTTTGCTGAAAAGTGTGAACAAAGTGCTCTGAGAACACGTCTGGCTCCTTCCTGCAACTGGTGCTACCGTGTCACTAGACCATGTTCAAAGAGGAGAAAAGGTGCTACATCTTGTACAGCAGAAGCAAGTAACAGGAGGACAAGACAGAGTTTCAAGGGGTTATGTCAATAAAAGGAAAACATATCCATCAATAAAAGTACCCTAAATCTGGGAAGGACCTGTTACACTGTTTGTTGAAGGGGAAATGTGGGAATGGCAACCCCCAAGAATGAGGACCACTATCTCCATCAATATCACATCACATAGAGATGGCATACAAGATGCTCCCAACCAAATTCCTGCCTGTACTTAATTTATTATTCCCTTGACCCAGAAGTGGCGGACACATCTCGGCTAGTGCCATACTGCCATAACTGCCCAAAGCTGCTGTGAACCTGAGTTGGCAAAGGTTTGATGGAAGCCACTGGTTTTCATAGCTATCTCTGGGTAATCACCAGGGCAGTGCTAAGTAGTTATCACCCTGAACCAATTTAAACTGGTTACCTAGAGACCAGAGGCCCTAGGATCTGAAAGGCATCATTCTTGGAAATTGTCCATTTTACTTTTGCCCCTAATTGATGAAAAATAACAACAAAAAACTGGATCTCAATTGGGCAAACAACAAAGATCATAATTATTTTATTAACTAAATTACAGCTGCTTTGAATAAAAACTTAACAAACAATCACGTAAGGGTCTCATAGGTGACAACCAGTTACTTTTCTTGTTTCTTCTCCCCAACAGTGAATCATCAAGGCCATGGTGCTTAAACACAAGTGTATTCCTTTCACATCTTACTACTCTCCAAATCGGAGTCCATCACTTCACTTCAGTTATTCTGGAAAATTGAAAAATGAACATATAATCACTATTCGTGTCTATTTTCTATCCATTAAAAAGTTGATGCATTAAAAAATAGTTTCAGATATATAGTATCTAAAAATTAAGAAAATACATCTGCAAAGGTCAGAGGCAGAAACCAGGCGGATCATTAGCCTTTTTAATTTCAGTAAGAAAAAGGCCAATGCCAAATCAAAGTGAAAAGTAAACACAGTCTGATTATCTCTGTTTGCTCGGTTGGCTGAGGAAAAGCCAAGAGATGTTGATTTTTCAAAGCAAAAGACATTGATCCTAGAATAATATTCTATAATATTCACTTTGGATCTCCACCATTCATTTAATGTAAGTAAAATAAACATCTGATCAGCTGCAGATGAAAGAGAAAAACGGTACTGACTCTGATCCCTGGGAAGCACCTTGAACCTCATTCATTGACAAGGCAGACACACTGTGAGCACTGAGCAGCTGTCAGTGGGAAGCACCCGCCAGACAGACATTTTAAAAACAAATGCTGATCAGGTGAATATTAGCAAAATTAAGGGAATCTTGAAGATCATTGTAGATTTCATCACAAATATTCAAGGCAAAACTGATTTACAATATTTCCTGATGCAGTAGTTTAAAAAAGTCACATCTTAAGAGAAATTAACAAAGGAAGAGGCACTCAAGATTCTTAGATTGCTTTCCTGAAAATGGAGAAAAGTTTAGTTTCTTCATACAACTACAGAACAATGACACCACCAAGGAAAAAGAAAGGACATAGAAAAAAAAAAAAAAAAAAGGACATCAGACTGTAAACATTAACAAACCATGCCACAGTTACTGGAACAAACCATGCCACGCCACAGTTACTGGAACAAACCATGCCACAATTCCTGGTACCAGTTGTTTTTTTGTTTTTTTTTAATATCTTTTAGTTTATTCCTGTGAATTTATTCCTTGAAGTCTTTTTTAGGAGGGTAATGGCTTACATAACAAAACATGCTTTTAAAGGCTGTGACACAAACGTACAAAAGTAGGATCATTCTGTGACTCCATTTTGAATATACATGGTTTTAAACTTTGTTCACCAATGCATGAAGTGTTTTTAATCTTATGCAAATATTAATGGTACTTGGGGGAATATAGCTTCCTGAGTTAAATGCTGCACTTTGCTACAGAAGTGGGCAGGTAAGGTCACAGACTTTAAAACAGTAAAATATAAAGCAAACTATTTACATGACCGAGGAGTGATTATAAATATCAAAGGTAAGAAGATGTTTTTGATAAGATAAAAACATAAACATAGTAACTAAATGCCAACAAAACTGAGGAATCATAATATGTTAAGGTAAAACCAAAATGAATGCTTGTAGCACTCAATATCTCAAACCTATGTATCTTTAAGAACAAATATATATCTTTGAAATATTCTATAAAGATTAGAAGTTACTAGCCCAGAGTCCTTAAAAAAAAAAAAAAAAAAAAAAAAAGCAGCAGCATCAGCAGCAAAAGCTCAGGACAAAATATCTCTCTTTCTCTCTCTCTCGCTCTTTAATCATCTCCCAAAAGGTTAGAACCAAGCTCCTGACTGGAAAAGCAGAGATGTTAAGTCCCCATGGGTTAAATGCAACAAAATCACCAACACAAGCAAAAAAGAAACTTTGTCAAAATGATAAAGATCTGTGGCAGATTATTTATGTGCCTTATAAAAGGCAGTTTACAGTCACCAGACACTGAATCTGAAAAACGTTTTACAAAAAGTGGTAATTTCTCTTTGCTGAGAGCCATATGACTGGAGTCTGATTCGTGACACCCTACAGCTTTTATAGTAGTAGTTTTGCAATTTTTAGCGAAGTAGATTTAAGTTATATACATCAAGAAATGTGAACCTTTATTATTTGACAGTGTCCCTTTTACTAAAAAAGAGCCACATTTTCAAGAAGCTTTTTTGTTTTTCAATGTCCGTGTTTTAACTGATCTATAATTATTAAGTGCAGTTTATACTTACCATCATTCATCATTCCTTTTGATTCTTTGAATGCTAGGGATTAGTAACAAGCCAAGCAGGCAGTTAGTAAGGTTCCACAATTGGAAATCATTTCTAAATCAACAAATATGCCATGATATGTTAACTAGTCTACAACTCTACAGCCAGATTAATTGTAAAGCTATCATTTTATTATGTAGCCTTTTTGTGGATCATACCCACAGCATTCACAAAGGAAACAGACTTAGCTGGGAAATCAGATCTAGGTTTACAAAGAAAGGAAATGAGATGTTTTGGTCTCACTCTGTGGCAACAGCGTGTATCTTTCTAAAACGTGTAAATCAGAAATTGGAAGTAATTGGGATCCTTCTCTACTAGGGGGTGTCACACTTCATCTCAGCCAGTACCAAAAGGCAACGATCTCCTTGCCCATATAGCACTTGGCTAAGGTAAGCAACTACTTAGACACAGAATGTGCATTTTTCCCACAGGTGAGAATATTATAAAATATTCATAATTCTTTTTTTTTTTTTTTTGAGATGGAGTCTTGCTCTGTCGCCAGGCTGGAGTGCAGTGGCACGATCTCGACTCACTGCAACCTCCACATTCTGGGTTCAAGCAATTCTCCTGCCTCGGCCTCCCGAGTAGCTGGGAATACAGGCACGCACCACCACACCCAGCTAATTTTTGTATTTTCAGTACAGACAGGGTTTCAACATGTTGGCCAGGATGGTCTCAATCTCTTGACCTCATGATCTGCTTGCCTTGGCCTCCCAAGGTGCTGGGATTACAGGTGTGAGCCGCCGTGCCCAGCCAATAATTCTTGATGAATAATCAAGAGTAGAGATGCCAAGGCAAGAGGAAAAGAGGAAAAAACTCTATATTCTTCCTAAGGCATAGACGGGGCATTCTACAGTTTTGCGGGCCAGTTCAAATTATGATCTGGTAAGGGATTAAGAGTGAAATAACCACATACCATTAAGGGGTTCCTCTACAGCTTTCTGAAAAATATTTAAAATATATTTACATAAAAATATAATTTGTCATGTCCTTTTATAGTAAAACTTATATATGCTAATATTTAAACTATGTAGTAAGCAGTAAATCCTACAGTCTAAAAAAAAAAAAAAAAAACACATGAAATAAGGCTATAAATGTTAAAGCAAAGCTTGCCAAGTCTGGTTAATAGTTTAGTAATAATTGCATTATTCTCTTAATATTATTTTTCTCAACAGAATTTCCCACTTCACCACTCTCAGCTCAAGAAATTCTAACTTCTAAAAATATTAAAGTGCAAGCATAAATAGCAACAACAGAATAAATAATACAGTGAAGAGGTGGAAGCAAAACAGAATCATCTTTAAGTATCGCAAATTGCGCTCAGTAACCAGGAAAGAAAATGTGTTAGGATTTACAGGTCCGGTTAAGTTGCTGGCCTCTTGTGACCAACGTAGCTATGGCACCAATCTTTCTAGAATATACTCCTGTGGTCGACACACATACCCGCCCCACCTGCCCTTTAAGCACACTGAGGCTTGTCAGACTTAGAAGCATATGTGACCTCTACCTCCGGCCACAGACAGAAGACTCTCTTTGGCATTCCAGATAAATCTATCATCACTCCGTAAAAGGAAGCTAAGTACAATATAATCCTTTCCAGAGCTTATCTCCACAAAATAGCCGTTAGGCCTGTCACCGTGATAAGTCTATGTTTATAAACATGCTTTTCTCTTATTTATGCCCTCCTAAAATTACTCCTTTCTTGGAATTTTCTCAGATGGCTTAATAAGGTATCTAAGGTACAATGAAACCTTAAGCACAGTTTTAAGGGAAAAAATGTGTAAAACATTTGTATGGGAGGGGATCGAATCATAACTCTGAATAGATGTTTTCAGCAATATTTACATTTATTTTTATAACTATCATTTTTAATGATGTCAATTTAGTATGAATTTCTCCTCATTTTTAAGCCTGAAATTGTCATTCTGTGGATGCATATCCAATGAATCCAAGAGGTGAGGCGATATATTGGAATCAGCTTCCTTCTGATTGCAGAGATAATATAGCCATTATTCCTACTTTGCAGTTCTGGGTGTGAGAAGTCAGTACAATCTTAAGAAATCATGTATTCCATCCCATTGATACTAACATGACCAAACACAGGTTTTAAAATAGAACTGGGCCCATTCATGCAAAGGTCATGCAATGACTTCAAACTTCTCTTAATTTGATGTGACACTAAACAGATAGCAAAATATCTCAATTACCAATTTCCTCAGTCTAATCCCTCAAATGATCATTCACAATTCATTTAATAAACTTTAACTTACCCTAGGAGGTTGTATAGTCTTCTGATTGGAAGCTGATATAAATAACAAATAAGAATATAAATTTAATAAATGAAATAAACTAAGGCATTTGGTAATGTTTAATTTTAAGATAAAATGTTCAGGGCTAAAACTAAAGGTGCCAGAGATGTTAATGAAAGAGTTCCAGTTCTGTCTATTCATACATGCTGAATATTCTTGATTATATATACTGATTTGAAAAACGAAGCAAATAACCCACCTACGTCAAATAATAAACACATTCTCTCATTTGTTAAGGCCATCTTTCCCCCAAATCAGCCACTTGTTACACTGGTTGGTGGGAAAACGCTGTCACCAACATACCCCCACTGTGGGTGCTCCATCCTCCCTCCTCTGTCTACCCAGAGTGTGGACAGAATGTGCCAGAATTTGTCCCCACTACTCCATCTCCCTTAGCTCACTGTTCCTGTTTCTTACTGCTCAGTCTCTTTCTTCACACCACTCCCTGGGTCTTTCCAGTTTCAAAGCTCCAAAGAGCTAACAAACTAAAGACAATACTCAGATCGCTCTGAGTATTCCTGTGTGTATTTCTTTTTAGCTTTCTGACTCGCCTTCTTCACTGCTTCTAAATGGATTCATTAATGAAGTTGAAGGAATATAGGACATGAGCAAAGTGACGAAAGGGAAAAGAATACCCTAGTTGGGTAGGGAAGAAGAGATAGCTTCCTTATAAAAAAACAAACGAGAAGGCAGGCTGTGGTGGCTGATGCCTGTAATCCCAGCACTTTGGGAGGCCAAGGCAAATAGACTGCTTGAGCTCAGGTGTTCAAGACCAGCCTGGGCAACATGATGAAACCCTGTCTCTACCAAAAATACAAAAATTAGCTGGCGTGGTGGTGCATGCCTATAGCCCCAGTTGCGTGGGAGGCTGAGGTGGGAGGATCTCCCTCGGCCTGGCAGGCAGAGGCTGCAGAGAGCTGGGGTCACGCCACTGCACTCCAGCCTGGGTGACAGAGCGAGACTCTGTCTCAAAAAATAAAAGAACCCAAAAAACCAAATAAATACAGAATTAGAATCCTACAGATGGAAAAGCGTCGAACAGAAACATGCCATGAACCACACAGCAGGAGGGGGATCCTACTGAACAGAGAGGTCCATTCCACTGAGACCTGGGCTGGATGACAGCATTGGATTTTCTCATCAGCAGATCGAGGCACACCTCCAGGACTGCTCTGTGTTCCTTACTATTTATTTACCACCACTGCACACTTGCCCTCTGTTAAGCTTCTGAAGCTGGCAGGGAAAAGAGCAGGTCCTGACCCAAGGAAAGCCAATCTGTGAGCCAGCCAAAAGCTGATGAGTCTTTCTCCAACAGGAAAAATGGCAAAGGACTGGACTGACAAGTTTCTCCCCACCACTGGACTCTAAGGAGAAACAGAAAAAAGACCAGAAAGTTGGTGATGGGAAGGGAAAGTGAAAAAGAAACAGAAAGGAGGCAAGGACGAGCTCAAAGCTTTTCTGTAGGTAAGAAAAGCTGTCTGTGAGAAGGCATGAATAGGATAAAAAACGGGGGCATAAAGGAGAGGGTGAGCTAGCTGGCTAACAGGCAAAGAATCAAAGACAGAGGAACTCGGGAACTATAACCGACAGGAGCATCACCTTACTCTCGTGGCTGAGAGGGCAACACGATGCTTCAGCTCTTTGAGATGGAATGGATCCTCCCAATTCCTAGACTACATACTGTCCCACCCCTGTGAGGCCCAGTTATGTATCTGAACTCATAGGAGTCCAGTCTCTGTTAGTGCCATGGGTGGCTTTAAATAGACCTCCCTTACTGTGGAGGAACCTGGGGGAGTGATCTGGTCCTTGCATCCAAACAAGAAGCCAACCTCTTTTTAAAGTAGAACGGGGTAAAATGGGTTGGGATGCACTACATTTAGCAGCTTCCCCAATAAACCAAGCAGAAATATAGAGCTTTATTTGGGAACATCAAGATAGCTACATGTATATACAACTGAACTTCAATGAAACCATGCCTTATATCTATGTTCTACAAAGAAAAAGAGAACTAAACAGCTACCTAAATTTCTGATGAGAATATATAAGGTCAGAGATACAGTTTTAGAGTTACATTTTTGAGCTCATAAATTTATTTATCAGAATAAACATTGCCAGGTGTGGTGGCACATGCCTGTAGTCCCAGCTACTTGGGAGGCTGAGGTGGGAGCATAGATTGAGCCCAGGAGCTTAAGGCCAGCCTGGTCAACATAATGAGACCCTGTCTCTAAAAACAAAACAAAACAAAATAGAATATTGCTAACTGCCAAGTAACTCATTTTCTTCCCTAATAATGTGTAAAGAATAGTTTCTAGTTCTAAATCTCACATTCAAGGGATGTCACATTTGGCTGTCCCATTCTGAAAAAAGAGATTTATGAAGAACGGTACTTCAAAGGGACATCAGTCAGTTGTGATCCCTCTAAATATTATAAAACCAAATAGTGTAGAAGTTAATTTCACCCGAGTTAATTCTCTCTAATATGGATATAACCCATGTGACAAAAGAATTATTATGATTAAGCTGCTGCTATCATAAGCCTAAGACATTGACAGCCATATACATATATTTTTTTTAACCACATGCCTTAAGCATTCCATACGAGCTTACTTGCAGTGCTTTTTGATTTGTTCTTCTCTCCCTGAAACATCTGATTCCATGCCATAAATATATTTCCAGGGTTTAAATTTTTCAAAAACATTTTTTCTACTGATACCAAATTTACCTCTCAAATTGAACAAGAAAATATCTGAATTTATACCTATACATACATAGAAATTCTACATATACATTCTGCATCTGCATCATTCTAAAATATCTGGGATGTTGTGGTAAATATGGTTCTTACTGCTACTAGATTGATTTGTATCAAAACACTATATGCCCTTATATTGAACTAACTGGTAATACCTTTAAAAATGAGAAAGTATTGACCCTTATAATCATATAAACATTCTCTACAAACAACAAGCCCAACTTTAGTGAGTTTGGTTAGTTGCTTGTAATCTTTTCTATGCTTTCACATTAAGTTATTGTGCCCAGTCCTTTGTCTCATCTTATAAAATTAAAATGCTTCCAATAAAAGAAAAAAAAAACAACAGTTTAAAAAATTAAAAAATAGAAAGTGAAAGTCACTTTCACAGAAAGTTGTAGAAAGTGAAAGGCCTACTCTTTAAAATAACAATTAAGGCTACAAATTTAAAGTTGGAAATAATAAAAATTATAAAAGTTAAAAATCTCACAGTGACATTAACTTCTTCTTGAAGAGAAAGCTTGGATTTTTAACTATATGAGGATTTTATTGCATTTAAATCAAAGCACAATCATTAGAGTTTTCTAAAATAGAACACGTGCAATGAGTAAAAATTGTTTTGGAGACACTTAAAATTTTAACTTCCTAATACAAACGCTCAAATTTGCAACCTTAATGTAACATAGATTCAGATTTACACAGTCAGATTATATAAGCAAACCATATTGTTCCTCCTAGTCTACCACATTATCTAAAGAGCAACTTTCCTGTACCTTGTCTCTTCTTGCCTTTCAACTGACCGTAGGTGTCCCTCTGAACTCTGGCATCAGACAAGTTGATTTAAAAAGTTAACTTAGGATACTATCAATAAAATTAGGACATTATCAATAAAATTGCACTAAATTTTAAACATATAGCATAAATTTTAGCATATAGCATACTTATATGCTAACCTATGACAAAGAAAAAATAATTTGGGGTACTTGTCAGGATTTCAGTCATTTTAATTTTAATGTCAGAACAGTGACAGGTACAGTAGTGTGGCTTCACAGGCTTGGAGGAATGTAAGTGATGGAAAAGGCAGGAGAGTGAGGTTAAGGAGGTGGCAGATAGACAATGCTTAGTTCCACTTGAGGCATTGTCACTAGACCTGCTAGCAACTGTACTGAAGATCATTCTATGCTAGATATGGAAGGTATGGGGTGGCATGGGAGTAAAAGGGAGAACAACCCAGATAGTGAGGAAAAAATAAGAGCGTGCTGCCCATCAGCCAAAGGTATCTAATACTAATTCACCAGAGTTGTATGGATACTGCAAATCACACACTATTCTCAGGCATTCGTGGGGAGCAACAAAACCAGGAGTGTCATCTTCCAGAACCAGACACATGGTGATTGGAAGATGTAGCAAAAATAGAATATGCACCAACATTCAAGATGTTCACTGTAGCTACCACATGGATTCCATTCTGCTTTAGCTGTCTCCATTGTATTTTATGGCATTATGTGGTATAAAATTAGAAAATTTCATTGAGCAACAACTAAGACTTATGAACTCATATGCTAAAGATAGGTAGATTTTGGTTAAGTATTTTAATTATCTAATAAGCATTAATTAAAGAAAGACACAGAATATATGACAGAATTGAATTCAATTACCAAGAACCAAAAGTTCAGAAATAAAGGTAAAATTTTTTCGAAACTATTATGTGAGTCATATGGGAAATTATTTGACTGTAACAATTCAAGTTTTGTGTTAGTTTTTAGAAACACATACAGCAAAGTTTACCTACAGCAAAGCAGAAACACTATTTTTTTACTCCATTAATTTATAACTTTGGATTATTAAGAGTATGTTTTATTTCATAAAAAATATAATTTTTTAAACAAGGGACACTAATATAAATGACATTATCGGGAACATCTTGAGCTTAGGTAAGATAACATTAGTTTCAGGCACAATTTAAAATATCTCTCTGTGTGCACATATCTCAATAAAAATAAGAATTTATGCAGAAACATTACTTGAAAATTGGCAGATTAAATATAAAAGTTAGAAACAATGAAGTAAATTCCATACTTATTAATAATTGATTTTAAAAGGAGTAAGTCTAAATTTTGAAACTCAATGTTTTCATAATTTGGTTTTAACTAGAACTGTTTTAAAGTCATGCATTAGAAGTCACTGTTCTTTAAATGAACAAAACTGATAGATTGTGAATCCTCATTCCTGTCTAGGGGTGTCTATGTCTGCAAGAAAAAGAGCAAGTGATAAACAGACAGGTCTCTGCAGGAGAGCTCTACACAGAAACACTGCAACAATTACAACTCCTATTCTAGTACTTCACACGGATCCTCAAAGATCGCTCCCCTTTTACTTAGTATAAACAGATACACATTCTAATAGGTAAAGCCATTTTCTTTAAACTAGTTTGAAAACCAAACTTTTCATTAATCCTATATGTCTTCCACCCTCTTTAATTACCCTCAAATCATTCCAATTGTATTTTCTGATTTTTGGTCCTAAACTGGAAGAACAAACTAAAAAGCATTTTCTAAGTGTTATATCTGAAATTACTGGCATAGGTTAATGAAAATAAGATTGACTTACCCACAAATTTCATATAAACTAGTCCAAGTAATTGTGCTAGAGCTAAGATACTCAAACCTGAAATCAGAAGAGGGCCATGCATTGGTATACAAGCTGTAAAAAAAAATACAATTCTGTATTAGAAAAGCATATGAAACAACTTACTAAAAAACAGTAATGATCCCAAGTTTTAAGAGTTATTCTAATGATCAAAAAACAAAAAGTATCCATATATGTTTATTAACTTAACCAGTAAAATGACTCAAAATTATTGTAAGAACAAAGCCCTCCTTTGCATAACACATACCTTATCATATCAAGAAATGGGAACCAGTGTTTCAAGTCTAAGGCTCCAACCAATTTGAGCCTAGTTATTTTAAAAGTTCTTCCATAAATACAGGCATATCAGTTTGGGTGCTAGAACAATCAGCCACCAAGTCATATATACAGCTAATATCTTTGTAGCAAGGAGGAAAGCACTATTACCACTGGGGTAAATTGGAAGTTCAAAAAGAAAAGCTCAGAATGCTAAATGCTGTCAAGTATATGAATAAACAAAAACTCTTATTTATTGGTGGTGATAATACAAAATGGTACAGCCATTTTGATACAGAGAGTTTGGCAGTTTATTACAACATACTCTTAACATACAGTCCAGTAATTGCACTCCTTGGTATTTGCTCAAACAGAACTGAAAACTTATGTCCACACAAAAATATGTATTTGAATGTACTTTCCACTCAATTTTGCCATGAACCAAAAACTGCAATAAAAAAAAAATCAAGTCTATATATTTTTAAAACGAGAGAAAGAAAAAGAAGAAAAAGGAAGAAGAGCTCTGTCCAAGAGTAACCCAAATTAGGTCTACAGAAAGGTGACTCTTACCCGCAATACAGAGACTCAGTCCAACCACAGCGAGGATATAGGCTATCACCTGAATAACCAATATGGCAATGACGAAGGAGGTTAATCCAATCGCTGGAGGAAGGAAAAGGATGTAACAGAAGCGTGTCAAGAGTATTTAAAAAGCAATCACCTCCACTTGCGTTTAGTATAATCAGGGATCTCCTAAGACCAAAGACTGTTCATTGTCTTTGGTCTTAGGACCAAAGAGTTCATTGTCCAATGGTAGATGTTAGCTCAGTGATCTAACCATTCCACACAAGTAGTCAGCTCCAAATTCACACATTCAGCAGCCTTTAATTTTCACAGTCAGCTAAGCTGGACTGGAAGTTTTTACCCTAAATCTTAGAACAATGCTGCTTTTACCGCACTCGTGCATTTTACAATATGAACGGCTATTATGAATGGCTTCTCCACATGCACACAGAATTGCTCTTGCTGAGAGAACCATTATGCAAATCCGTGACTGTAAACATCATGCTCTCTATCTCTAGATCTGTCATTTTATAACAAACTAATACCTTTCCAATGTACAACAAGCCAGAGATAGGCTCTAAGACCAAGTGTTAAATGTGACTCTTTAATCGTAATAACTAAATATGGTAGTGATCTACTTTCAAAATGCAGTGTAAATGATACTGATTATAGTTTGGATATCCATACCATCTTTTAAAACTACAGTTGCTAATAATTAAAACAAGTATGTTTCTACTATTTGTGATTCATAATTCCATTTTATAGAACCAGTCTTCTTAATACAGAAGCAGAAGCTTAGCAAAAGAAGAGAAAGACTGTTTAGCATCCACTTATAACTTCAAAAAACTGAAATTAGAATATGAAAATAATCATTAAGAAATGATATGGCATAATTTAAAATTATGCTGATTGGCATCAAATACATACGAAAATCACTTTTTACAAAATAGCTAACCTAGAATAAACTTAAAGTTAATATGAATGGGAAAATGTCACTAAGAATAGCATGAAAAATCTTTTAATAAACCAACTCTTATTGAGTTGTAAAAAAACTATGAGTATTTTCACCAAAACTACTGTTTTGTAAATGAAAAAGGTAGGCAAAGTTATACTGTAACAACAAATACTCACCTGTACTAAACACATAGTAGTGAAGTAATATTAATATCCCTGTAGAAGTCACAATTAAACCAAGGCCAGTAGCATTCTTTAATGAATATTCACCTGTCAATAAATAAAAACATTTAAAATATTTTCCTGCATACTTTTTAAATGTACTAATCTAAATTCTATGCTTAACAACTGTGAAAATTTAAAAAATATACGTTTCCCTGAAAACGTCATACAAAATTAGTGACTATTTTTTCATTAAGACCAAACTTAAAACATCTAAATCTCAACACTGAAGTTTCAACATGCTGAAACCATGAATTGGCTCTGCCTCCTTCTTAACTAGCTTACAGAATTCCAGATGAGAAACTGGTATTCATCATTCACTGTTCCCTTCATTTGCTGTGTTCAGTATGTCCCAAAGTCAACTCAACTGTTCTTTCAAGTTGTCTTCTGAATCTACCTCCTTCCTCCCGTTGTCTTCACTAACTTCAGATACCAAGAGAGCTGCCAAGCCCATGTTCCTAAGCATTACATCTGTACTGCATTCTTCTCCAGAAACGATGGTGTGCTATAGTTATCAGGTTGAGTCCCAGCTTTCCTTTGCTTTTCTTGTGCTACATATCCTCATTTCCCACTCACATTCCCATTCTCCAAATGCAACTGCCAATTTCCACCTTCATTCCACTTTCATGTCTTGGCCAATGGAGTTTGCCTCTGTAGTGAGTTGAATGATGGCCCTAAAGTTATTTCTACCTCCTAATCCCCAAAACCTGTGAATATTACCTAATAAAGCAAAAGAGTGAATACTGCATTATATGGCAAAAGATATGATGAAGTTAAGGATCTGGAAGGAGGAGCTTACCCTGGATTATATGAGTGGGCTCTAATTCCAATGACAAATGTGCTCATAAGAGAGAGGCTGAGGGAGATTTAACAAAAACACACAGGCAAAGACATAGAGGAAGGAGAAGGCAATGTGACCAGAGAGGCAGAGGGTGGAGTTATGCTGTCGCAACTAAGGAATGATAAACACTGTCATTCTTCAGCAAATTCCAGAAGCTAGAAGAGGCAAGAAATGGATTCTTCCCTAGAGCCTTGAGAGGGAGTATGGCCCTGATGACATCCTGATTTCAGACTTATGGCCTCCAGCTTGGAGAGGGAATTGCTATTGTTTAAGCCACCCAGTTTGCAGTCATTTGTTCCAACAGCCCTAGGAAACTAATGCAGCCCTCTTCACCTTGGCATGCACTCATCTACCGCCTGTGTTCCTGCCTAGGAACTGCACATCTTACCTGGGACGAAAAGAATGGCTCCAACAATGACAATGACAGTGATCATCAGTCCAGCAACAAGTAAAGCAATCGTTTTCTCATCCATACCACCGGATCTATATTTAAGTGCTTAAAAAAGAAAAACAAAGAATTACATGAACTCAATCACAAGTGAAGCCATTTTAATAACTTATACAGAGACAAAGTGACAAAAGTACTATAACGTAATAACTTCTGAGGAACAACTCCTTCATATCATCAAGTCACCTCACATCTCTTTCACAAGCAAATGGATACTGTCACGGCATATAAATATGGATGGTGAATTTATAGGTGACACTTTATTTTCCTACACTAACAAATGAGGTTCTATACATCAGTCTTTCTCAGTTGATGTATTACTAATATCTTGAGCTAGATAAGTTTTCTGGGGGAGGGGGGACACTGCTCTGCATAATACAGAATGTTTAAGAGCATCCTTGGCCTGTACATACTAGATGCTAGTAACTAGATGCCAGTTATGTCAATCAAACTGTTTTCAGACATTGTCAATGTCCCCTGACGAGCAAAACCACTCCAGACTGAAAACACAGCACTGAGGTACGTAATACTAATGGGAAACAACAGGTTACTTAACAATATTGAGAAAAAGAGAATTTTGTTCCACCTTATATAAAATTAGTAAACCATCTGGAAATCTGGTTATTTTGTTTTGAAAAAAATGACAGAATAAAACTGGGCAAATTACACCCTTGTGAAATCCTGATGAAGAAAAAAAGCTTAAATTGTTCAACTGAAATATTTTAATAAAAACAAACTGCAAAGACTCAACAGGATTCATCATATATGTTATTGTTTCTGCTGCTAGCTCTACTGTCATGTATCTCGTACCTCCTCTGAAAGACAAATGGCATAGATCAATCTGCAAATATTAGTTCTTTTACTATATGTGAATCTTTTAAATTTTGGTTAACACTGAAGTTGATTTTTTCACTAAGGAAGTCGTTTAAGGTAACCTAAAAGCAAACTGAGTAGCAGAAAGAAACAGTGTGTGACTGAAATGCTTCTGTGTGTTATCCACATAGAGATATTCTCCATGCCAGTAATCAATGGGTGACTGTCATGAAGGGAAAAATATTTTAAATGTTATATTTAGCATTTAGGTTTTTTTTCTTCTGCAGTGACAAACATTAAATAAAGTAAAAGCAATAAATAAGCCCCTAAATGATCATGATAAAAATCTATGTTTAAGGTATATGACAGGTACCTAAATATTTTTGGAATTTCTATCTACCCATACTTTATAACCTCAATTTCAGTCTCTTTACAGGGAGATAAGTCCTAAGCAATAAATAAGCAATAAATAACCAATTTATTAATGTGGATACTCAGAGTAACTGAAATCCACATTAATAAGAGAAGAGAATCCATATTAATCAGAAAACATCCTATAGCAAGTTCCCCAAGTTTTTATTTGATTCGTTACTTCCGCCCAGCCCTGGGATTTATGTGCCTAATAGTCATAGCCTTGCCTTCTTATAAGGCACAGAGTTTTTACAGCTTCCCTATTTTCTAGGCTAAAATGCTGGCTAGAATGAAACTGAGTGTGTAAGTCACAAAAGGCACACACACAGAAAAAGGAACTTTCTCTAGATATATGTCACATTTTCCATTTTAATCCCATATATATTGTGATCTAAATAGAGCTTGAAGGTTCTGCAAAGGGTTATAAAATAGAAGCTGTTTCAAACGCACCTCACGATCAATCAAACATTCATAAGAAACTCTTCCAGGTTTAAGTCAATGCATAAAAGAGCTACTAAGATCAAGCAAGAAGAATTTGCCTTAGAGTACAGTATAATTTCATAGAAAAAGGTTGACTTACGTTCTTCTTCTATTTTCTTTTTTTTTTTTTGAGACAGAGTCTCTTGCTCTGTTACTGAGGCTGGAATGCAGTGGCACAATCTCGGCTCACTGCAACCTCTGCCCTCCCCCGGTTCAAGTGACTCTCCTGCCTCTGCCTCCCGAGTAGCTAGGACTACAGGCATGTGTCACCACGCCCGGCTAATTTTTGAATTTTTTTTTTTTTTTTTAGTAGAGACGGGGTTTCACCATGTTGGCCAGGCTGATCTCCAGCTCCTGACCTCATGATCTGCCCGCCTCAGCCTCCCAAAGTGCTGGGATTACAGGCATGAGTCACTGCTCCCAGTAACTTACATCCTTCTTAATAAAAATAAGAGTTTGAATCTCATATAAAATTTATCCTCTTAAGGCTTAGAAGAGCTGTTATAGGAGAAAACAGTGTGAACAATAGCAACAAAAATAAAACACCACAAAATACTACCATAGACAGGGTTCTATCCTAAAATGGTTTGTCTCCCTTTGAATATAAGCACATTATATATTGGAAGTAGCTTTGGTTCCTGTTGATTAGTTCAACTACCACTTATTTTCCAGGCCACCTTAACCTTTTCCTTAAATTAAGCGGCCATTTCCAACAAATACACACGTTGAGGATCCCAAGTGTGAAAAAATCTGAAATCCAAAACACTCTGGTCCCAGGACGGACACTCCACTGGTCTCTGTGGGGTCTACCTAATAACCACAGGCAATGAAAGAGTATCTCCAGTGAATCTTCAGAAAGAGTTTCTTTTGGCTCATTTTCTTTGCTAGCATAGCCACATTTCAGCAGGTACCATGGCAAATGTGGGGTAGGTATCTTGTTGCTAGCCCAGTCATCAAATTTCTCAGTGTAGCGAAAGGGCAAGGAATTTGATACAATAGATACCATAGAACCCAATAACCTCAAGGATCTTATTGATCTTTTCTTATCCTTCAATAAGTGGATTTATCCTTATTTACTGTATGTATCAAAACATTAAATGCAACAAAAAAAAATTCAAGTAATTCTCCACTTAGTATTAAGACAAAAATAACTTAATGTGTTCTTAACAGCAGGCTCTTATCAAATTTCCTAGTATGATTTTCAGACTGCTTGGCAAGGCAATCTATGTAATTTTTAAAATCTGCGTGCTCTTAAGGATTCCCTTCAGCTACAACTACTGAAATCAATACACAAAATAAAGTACATGAGAAATAATAGTAGTTACACGCTTAACAAAAAATTTATAACCTTAGTGCTTAGCCTGACACAGGAAAACCAAGTATCAGGGAAGGCAATATAACATTTTTGTGAACAAATTAGGTATTCTAAAATTTTCTTTTATATGTCCTATAAAATAATCAGTAACCAAAAGCAGGCTACTTCTCAGAAATCTGTTGGGTTGGTTCATTTATTTGTTCTACAAATATTTACTGTGTACCTACAATGTACCAGCCCCTTCTGCTAGTCTACATCAAGGAACAAGTAGATTACTTAATTAGACAATAATTGATTGAGCACTATCAATCTGTATGACAATCACTATTTTAAATGCTGGCGGTGAACATAAAAAGCAAACACAAGGCCTGCCTCAAGGCTCTTACATTCTAATGGGTGAGTGTGTGTGTTTGAGGGCAGGAGAGGGTGAGTGATGAGTATGTTACTCCCAAAACTTCTTTCCCAGTTAAACAGATGGTGAAGGCCTACTCTAGTCTAAGAAAATTCCTTTATGCATGTAATCTTTCAAATTCATGCAGATGAAGCAATGACATGTCCCTCTAGCCGCCTGAGAAAACAGCTAATGTTATGGATGGACAAGAAGGTGTTCTGATTTTGTGACTGATAGACAGCACATATAAGATAAAATGCAGGTTGTGACTGATGAAATCTAATGAAATTACCAAGTCAACTTGGGGATAAAATCAAGTCTATCATGTTAAGTTTCCATGACACCCCAAAGACTGGAGCTGACACACCCATATAGGCTCACACAGACTGCAGTCCATCCAAGGAAACCCAAAACCCAAGAATTTAATGCCTGCCCAAAGATATGACATTTGGAGTGATTGGTAAGTAAGGAGAGAGACAGGAAGGCTTACCAGGCTGATGCGTATCAGACTAAGAATAAATCATAAAGAAAGATGGGTTTGATTTCATTATTATAGTGCTGTTTTCTGATAACTCTAGGAAAGTAATTTTAGAATCTTTTTCGTATCTGTTGAGCTGTAAATGAATATTGTTTTCAGTGCAGAATAAAGCGCATCTGACACCTTTACACATAAAATTACAATTTCATTTTTTAAATTATTTAAATTTAAATTACTATTTTTCAAATATCTAATACACCTATTTAACACACACAAGCACACACAAATGAAAGCTTCTGAAACTGGTACTGGAAAAAAAATGAACATTAATACCAATTATAAACTGGTTACTTGACAGAAGGCAAGTTAAATAATTTTATAATAAACTCCATACACTATCCAACTTGCTCTAATGAAACAATTTTGTCACAATGAATACTGACTAGACATCAGTCTATAGGATAGAGATAAAAGAGCCCAGGCTTTGTGCATCAAGTACTTTGAACATAAAAGATGAAAGAAGAGGATGTCCAACAGACCAAACTTCCTTTTTTTCACTATCAACTTTCCCTGCCTTGTGGATTTCACAATTTTAGAGTGTATGGAGAAAGTTGTGATGTCCGGATTTGGAAAAGGTCAAGGGATTTCTACAAAAGAGTAAAATGCTGAGCTATAGATTTGTTCAATTCCTCCTACAATAAAATCAGCACATAATCACATTAATAACAGAACGTGCTCATTATATGGACAGGACCAAGGGAAAGCACTGGGAGTTCAAGATTATTGAATAGAATTTACAGTAAGGGGACAGGCACGTGGCTCACGACTGTAATCCCAACACTTTGGGAGGCCAAGGCAGACGGATCGTGAGGTCGGGAGTTCGAGACCAGCCTGGTCAATATGGTGAAACCCAGTCTCTACTAAAAATACAAAAATTAGCCAGGCATGGTGGTGCACACCAGTAGCCTGTAGCTACTTGGGAGGCTAAGACAGAAGAAATGCTTGAACCCGGGAGGCGGAGGTTGCAGTGAGCCAAGACCACGCCACTGCACTCCAGCCTGGGCGACAGAGAGAGACTCTATCTCAAAAAAATAAAATAAAAAGAATTCACAGTAAACATAATAACAAAGTCTTATTATCAGGGGCCATCAACCAGGTCA